AAGAAGGGGGGAAAAAAAAAAGCAGTAAAACGACAGTCGAGAGAGAGGAGTGAGATGATGTGAGAGAAACAACTATGCAGACACCGAGGTCAGTGAAGTGAAGCTCGTTGATGAAAGACCATGGTGAGGCAGGTTGTCCCCCTGCAGCCCATGGAGGTCCACAGTGGAGCAGATCTCCACCTGCAGCCCGTGAAAGGGATCCCACGCCAGAGCAGGTGGATATCTGAAGGAGGCTGTGTGTGACCCCATGGGGAGCCCGTGCTGCAGCAGGCTCCTGCCAGGACTTGCGGACCTGTGAAGAGAGAAGCCCATGCCAGAGCAGGTTTGCTGGCAGGGCTTGTGACCCCATGGGGGACCTACGCTGGAGCAGTCTGTTCCTGAAGGACTGCACCCCATAGGAAGGACCCATGCTGGGGGAGTTTGTGCAAAGCTGCAGCCTGTGGGAAGGACTCATGTTGGAGAAGTTTGTGGAGAGCTGTCTCCCGTGGGAAGAACCTCACATTGGAGCTGGGGAAGAGTGTGAGGAGTCCTCTCCCTGAGGAGGGAGGAGCGACAGAGAAAACGTGTGATGAACTGACTGTAACCCCCATTCCCCGTCCCCCTGTGCTGCTTGGGGGAGCGGCAAGAAGGGAGGGGTGGGGGGAAGGTGTTTTAAGATCTGTTTTTATTTCTCACTATCCTACTCTGATTTGACTGGTGATAAATTAAACTCCCTTCTCTCCCCAAGTTCAGTCTGTTTTTTGTCCGTGACAGTAATCGGTGAGTGATCTCCCCCTGACCTTATGTCGACCCTGGGGGCTTTCATCATATTTCCTCTCCCCTGTCCAGTTAAGGAGGGGGAGTGATAGAGTGGTTTTGGTGGGCACCTGGCATTTATCCAGGCCAAACCCAAACAAGAATTTACATTATGGGTTTGTTGAATGCAGTCTCACACTTCAAGTAGCATGCTGCAATATAATAGAAGTTGCAACAGAGAAAGAACAGTATTATAATTAAACTTACTGATTAAATAAGTTTATTGTAACTAGAAAGACAAAATAAGTGGCATGCCCATTAACTAAGCAATAATTACCTGAAAGGGGAATATTTCAATATCCTGACAGATCATACTGCTTCTCTGGAAGATTTTACTGCATTTTCAGTAAGCCAGTCTGGTCTGTCACATACTCAATTTTTAACACCGATGCCAATGACAGCATGTTATTTTAAATGCAGCTACATCTGCCACTGTTAATTACCGAGCCATCTGATCACTGGTACTGGAAAATAAAAATGCCGTCATGATATGAAAGCATTGAAAAAGCTACTTGCCATAAAGCCACTTCCTTGTGCTACACAGGAAGGTTTCTGATCCTAAGAGAGGCTGTATTTACCCATGGCAGACAGCAAGAGGAAAGAATTCTGCAGCAGATCTTAGCAGCAACCAAAACAAAACCTGCTGGATTCAAAAAAGGCTACTGTCCTGGGTTTGGCTAGGACAGGGTTAATTTTCACCGGACTCCAGGAAGGCGCACAGCCGGGGGGTGGGGGCTGACCCCACCTGGCCAAACAGAGCCATGTGCCGTCATGCTGCGTTCGGTGGGGGGGGCGGCGCGGGGGGAAGTGACTCGCAGCTCGGGAGCGCATGGCGCCGGTCCTGTCCGGGAGAGAGGGTCTGTTGTGCGAGTTTGTGTCGTGTTTTCTCCTTATCTGTACCGTTGTTGTTACTGTTCCCTCTGTTTGCTGTTCTGTTAAACTGCCCTTATCCCGACCCACCAGTTTCTGCCTCTTTCTTTCCATTCTCCTCAGCACCCCGGCGGGGGGAGGGGCGGCCGCGTGGCGCTTTTGTTGCCGGTGGCAGCCAAAACCAAAACAGCTACCTATGCATTTCAGCACTAGGAGACCTGCAATAGACTTGCTCATCAATAGATCTTTCCTTCTTGAAACAGCAAGTGGTACTCTTTGTAGAGAGAAGACTATATTAGCATACAAATCCAGAGGTTTATTAAAATATTTCTTAAAAAAAATACATGTTGTATTAGTGAAATGGAAGTGTTAGTCCTATTGTTCTCGTACATGAGACTTGCTACTAGTCTCATTTTTAACAAAAAAAGAAACAATGTCTTTTGATTTAAAACAGCAAAATGAACACTCTAGAAGATCAGCATATTTTGAAAATGCAAGCATGGGATCAGTAGGGATGCCTATGCATTCTAAAGATCTATAGCACTTCATGATGACAGTTTGTTTTAGTAAGTTACATACAATTAAAGCAGATAAAAACAAGTCATTGCGTTAACGCTAACGATAAGGAAAAACAGCTTCCAGAAAGTACCTTTCTTTGAACTGTAATAGGAAAAGGAAAGTGAAACAATTACAGACGGGAAATCTCAGAACAGAGCAGATAACCTAATATTTGCATATAAAAACTAGACATGAGCCACCAACGTGCGCTTGCAGCCCAGAAAGCCAAATGTATCCTGGGCTGCTTCAAAAGAAACGTGGCCAGTAAGTCAACAAGAGGGGATTCTGCCCCTCTGCTCCGCTCTGGTGAGACCCCACCCGGAGTCCTGCCTCCAGCTCTGGAGCCCCCAGCACAAGAAGGACATGGACCTGTTGGAGCAGGTCCAGAGGAGGGCCACAAAAATGATCAGAGGGCTGGAGCACCTCTCCTGTGAGGAAAGGCTGAGAGAGTTGGGGCTGTGCAGTCTAGAGAAGAGAAGGCTGCAGGGAGCACCTATTGCAGCCTTCCAGTACCTGAAGGGGGCCTATAGGAAACATGGGGACAGTATTTTCAGCAGGGCTTGCTGTGATAGGACAAGGAGTAATGGCTTTAAACTAAGGGAGGGTAGATTTAGACTTGATATATAGAAGAAATTTTTTACCACCAGGGTGGTGAAACACTGGAACGGGTTGCCCAGAGAGGTAGTGGAGGCCCCATCTTTGGAAACATTCAAGGCCAGGTTGGACGGGGCTCTGAGCAACCTGCTCTAGTTGAAGATGTCCCTGCTCACTGCAGGGGGGTTGGAATAGATGACCTCTAAAGGTCCCTTCCAACCCAAAGCGTTCTATGATTCTATGATTCATATCATGTGAGAAAAGAATGAGGGAATTGTTACTAGCAGAAGCAACAAAATTAAAACATTTACTAAAATAGAATCCCGGAATAGAGTTGCCAAACTAGTAAGTACATATGATAAACGAAAATAGAGAGACAACTGTCACTAGCAACAGCAAGAAAGCAGAACTTTACTAGCAGAACTAAAGATACATCTAGACCACAAAGCATGGCAGCGCCTTAGGGAAGCCTGAGAAATCTCTGAGCAAGATGGTATGTCGACACAACACACACGAGTGCCACATAGGGATACTAAGCGGGTTCCAAAACGATACAACCCCTTTAAAACAGTCCCGTGCCTGGATTTCTTAAGCTTCTCAGATGCTCCTTGTGCTGGAATTAGTCCATTCTGAGTAAACGGAGAATTACTGTCCCAGGTCGAATTGCAAACCATAGATATCTGTTATAAGAAAAAAAGGGGGGAACCAAAAAAAACCCTCCAAACACACACACACACAAAAAAAACCCCAAAACACTAGCCCAGTTTTAGAAAGACTCTTACCACCTTAGAAGATTGAACCCTACCATGAGAAAGGCAGCAAGAAGTAATCACTTAACAGAAGGGAAGACAGGACAAATAAAAATAGATGTTTCTACATCTTGTATACCTAATTTGATCACTTTGGATCACATAAGACTATAAACACCAAATAAAACTACTGGTCATCTATAGTATTTTCTTAGTTCAATAGGATTACCAAACCAGAAGGTGTACTGAAGCAATAAGAGGCCATTTGAAAGTGCTGTTCCTGCTTGCTTGAATTTACTCGACATTTGAAGGTGTTAACTATTACTAGTATATGTGCAATTGCTATACTTACTACTCCCCACCACAAGGCATCTGCATAGCTGCCAAACTCTGTTTCTCCAGAATCATTCACCGCATCTTTTTCAGCCAGGTACACAAAATACGAGGAAAAAATCAGGCCCAGAAATCCAATGTAGAGTGTAGTTATCAGTTCCTGCAAAGATAATCAAAATAATGGCATTATGATATTGTTAAGACACTTAATTTACCTATCACTGGTGTTTTTTAAGAGGTAATTGGAACAGAAGAATGTAATTTCAGCAATTAATAAACATAGACACCAACTGTTGGCTGTGCAAATTAACAAAAAATTCCACAGAGCTCAATGGTGAAAGAATTTACACCATAGATGATGACTTGGTCCAGCATGCACGTTTCAGAGTCAAAACAACCTCCTCATTCATTAACTTTTTGGTCACCAAAAAGTAGTTGGGTATTTTTTTCAAACAGTGCCACATTCAAAGCAATTTTGGAATTCGGATATATATTTTTAGAAATATTCAGACTACTTTTGAGAAGTGTTATTTTCTGTGGTTAAACCCAACTACAAGTCAAAAATTTGCTATATTTTTAATCTTTTAGGAACTTTTTGTCCTTTGAACAAGGCAGAACAACCATACTTGGTTAAAATAAATGACTGCCTGCTTCCACCCTAAATATATTTGGCATCATCAGCATGTCTGCATACATGCTGTTCTGAATATAAGGACTTTTGCATCAATTATTATGCCATTCCTCAAAGTACTCAAACTTACTTGTCTGTGAATGAACACTACTGATCCCAGCAGCCTCCAGGTACCACCCTGACGGTCAACATGCAGCATTCGTAAAATCTGCAGAAAACGGATGCCCCTGGAACACAGTTTTCAAATGAAAGAAGAGACCAAAGATACAAGAGAAGAAATGGACGTTGAGAGGGGAAGTCTGTCTCTTCCAATGAACAGTTTTAAGAGAGACACATAGTATTTTATGCTAGACATAGCAGCCTGTGTTTTCACTCCACTCACCCATCTTTCACCTTGTTTGTTATGAAGACAGCATGGGGAGATTGCACAAGAGAAGGACAGACCTTTGTACACATGGTTAGTAAAGATAACTCAAGGATTCAGGAATTTTTGACACAGACTGTGAATGCTCTAGAAATCATTCATCAACTCATATTTGACCTGCTTGCCAGGATGGCAAACGACATACAGAAACAGCTAATTAAAGAGCTGAATTCCTCACCTTTGAGGAATTTGAACTGGACAGTCCAATAATATTTTAAAATATTCTATTTATGAGAGTCACTGCAATCCTAGAGCAATGCTGCAGCTAATGCACAGAACACAGTACACTGCCCTGTACTCTCTCATTCAGGAAAACCAAGTCGTGTGACCTTCCTGAGCAGAAAATGGATTCAGTCCATCAGAAATTCACAGACACTAATCCCAGACATTTTATGAAGAAGCAGCTTGAAGATATCAGAAACATGAAGTGTGAAAGAGTTGCTGTAAAACTAAGCCAAGAAACTAAAACAGGATTTGGGTGGAACCCACCTAGTTGGGGAAGGGGGGCGGAGGTATGTGCACCTCTATCCCCACCAGACATAAATGCATTATGACTAGACAACATACGCAAAATTTTATTTTCCCTACACTGTTTCACACTCATAAATGATTGGTGATCTGCTCTGTTACATGACTCAGAGCAGTGACTCATTTTCTCCTGCAAGAACTGAAATACGAAGCAAAAAAAAAGAAAAAACCCATCTTACTCAGACAGCACTATTTGCTTTTATTGCATATAATTACCTGATAGCTGAGGTTGCAAAGACTTGACCTTTAGAGCCCACGCAAAGAACTATCATGGAAGCAACAACTACAATTAAATCTGGAAAATAAAAGCCAAATGAAAAAATGAGTTAGCAGCGTCTTGCAATACTTCTGCAAGACTGTTACTAGAACCAATGCCAATACTACTTCAATAATTTGAATAGTCAGAGATTCATAGAATGGTTTGGGTTGGAAGGGACCTTATAGATCATCTAGTTCCAAGCCCCCTGCCATGGGCAGGGACATCTTCCACTAGACCAGTTTGCTCAAAGTCCCATCCAGCCTGACCTTGAACACTTCCATGGAGGGAGCATCCACAGCTTCCCTGGGCAACCTGTGCCAGTGCCTCAACAACCTCATAGTGAAGAATTTCTTTCTTATAGCACATCTAAATCTACCCTCTTTCAGTTTAAAAAGCCATTACCCCTTGTCCTATCACTACAGGCCCTGGTAAAAAGTCCCTCTCCAGCTTTCTTGCAGGCCCTTTCAGGTACTGGAAGGTTGCAATAAGTTCTCCCCAGAGCCTTCTCTTCTCCAGGCTGAACAACTCTCTCAGCCTGTACTCATAGGAGAGGTACTGCATCCCTCTGATCATGACTAATCACCCCAAATTAAGATTTTTTTTGTTTATATATCAAGAAATCTCTATTGTAACTTGTAAAGAAAATACAATCGTGTGATATGATAGATTTTACTAGGACATGTTCAAGATGGCCACATTCTAGATGAATGATGAGAGCGATATGAGTTACTGTAAAGCAGTCTCAGCAGTCTGGAATTGTTATTAGCTATAACCCATGAGGAATTTCAGCAGTTTCTATTATCTCTTCTGTGCATCTTATTTTCTCTGCTGTTTTACGCAGTATTTTATTCATTAACAGAGGTTTGGGGGTTTGTTTCATCTATAAGACGATTTCCTTATTATTATTTAAATTGTCTGGGTCTAGAAGGGATAGAAAAATTGGAATTAGTGTATGAGTTTAATTTAGGTTAAGTCACTCATTACCCTCAGACTGTATGCTAAATCTCTGTGCCTCAGGCCTAGTTAATTTTGGAAATGAACTCTATCTTGGAGAATGAAATAGTTCTTGATACATATCTGGGAAAGCAGAACTTTGTTTTGCTTTCCAAGACGAAATGAATCAGATGATGTTTCAGAACCCCTAGGGTTTTAGGTCTCCAGAGAAATGGATTGTGGACAGAGTGCAACGATGCAGTCAAAGCCATTTTATAGTTGCAGGACACCTGAGATACAGCTGTTAATTATATATATGCGCAGAGAAGGTAAACTATTTTATGACTGCAAAAATACGCAGGTACAAAATTTTGTAATTCATGTTCAGCAAAATTACAGATAATTTATGAAAAACTATATCCTCTACTCAACAACAAATAATGTTTCTGAGTAGTGGGAAAAACTATGTCACAGAACAAGAACTACTGTGCTTCTATAACAATACTCCTCTTCCAAAATCTGGTTTAATTGATTCATATTTTATGTGCTTCAGGGCAAGGGCCTTTATATAGTCCTTTCAATATTGGCTAACAAAATACAGACTGATTTTGGATTATTATGTTTCTTTCTGTGAAATTTTTAAACGCATGACAAGCATTCTAAAACAAATAATGGTTTGTGGCATATATGGAATATACGAATGTAATTTCTAAGAACACTGAAGTCATGTTAGGAAGCCAACTATCAAGGCAAGTCAGGTGCCCAGTTCCAAATGCACGACTGAAAACTGTATTTAAATCCAATAGATACACAAAGTAACTACAGTGCATCTATCACGCAGTACGTAGCTCAATTAGAGTGTGAAATAAACTCATAAGAAATTATTCAAATGGTTGCTGGGAAAAAATAAAGGCCATTCAGCATCTTTAAAAAAATACATTTGTAGCTATTGTACAGTGTCTGGGATCCTGAGGTCACAGGAGACAGGGCTATGGCCAAGACTTATTTCTGGCAAAGCTTCAGATCACTTGTGAAAAGAAAACACTCCGCTCTTCTGGAAAAACAAACCAAGTTACATTTGTTCTCAAATGACAGTGCCATGGATTCCTGAAAGGAAATTCAGATCTACATTAATGCTGATGATAAGAGCTCTTGCTCTAACTTGGCTACAACTGCTGCTGAAATTCCACTTCTCAAAACTTTCAAGGACACTTTTACTTGTTGTTTACGTCAACTTTGCAAGCTGTGCATACTCACCGATGATTGAAATAGGTTTCCTAGCAAAACGAAGCCTTCCCCATATTCCAACATATTTACTGCGGCATCCTGCTGACCATAACCGAACTACATATTCTGTTCCAAAGAATACCACTAATACAATTTCCTAAAAGAAACAGACAGGGAACTAGGTTAATTGCCTACTATTCGTCTTTCATCTTTATTCAGAACTCATTAGGAAACGCCAAGTTAAAATGTAAAATTTAGAAGGTGAAAAAAATGTCAACTATACCAAAATGACCTAGAGTAACAGAAAAACCTGTAAGAGTAAAGAAAGAAAAGATTAAGAGCAAGTTTAAATACTTTAATTGCATGCAGTTTGGCTTGTCTACACGTACTAAAACTGAAAACCATTCTGTGCAATTCACGTGGTCTAATTCAAACAAAAGATTTCCTGACTGAGCCAAAGAAAACAAGCACAGTCTGTATTGAGAAGATGAGTATTTTGCTAGCCTATTTCATTTCGGGAAGAGGTGTGCTTCGCATTCCATTTACTGTATTAACTTAACCTCCCTCTTGTTTTTACTTTTTCAGTCTTCCTTTAATCTCACATGGATTGAAGAAAGATTTCTAGTATCCGTTACCAATATGTTCGTCTCCAGGTGCACTGAAAACATAGTGAGACCTCAAGCACACCTTTCCCATCCTCTCGTCAACAATCAGAGACTTCGGCAGAAACAGAGGTCTAGTCCCGAAGCACTGCCGTTATCAAGCTACGTGTTAACCACAGACCTGTGCTATGGTATGACTTTGGAAATGCCTACAAAGTGACAGATGTCAAAGACATCCAACATTCTTGTTGATTAGACAGAGGTACGATTATGTCATATTTGGAACGTACTCAATGTGCAGATAAACCTTGTTTTTCTATGGTTGAGCATGGCATACTCAGCAGTGTTTCCTCGAGTATCAGGGAGCTGCAATACTTATTGGCCAACTCGATTAACAACTGGTCACATTCTCTATCAGAGCCAACAGCAAAATCTACTAATTGCAATGGTAACGGTGGTTTGTAATTGAAAACATGCAGCACATGGCACATAGAAAGAGTAAAGCAGAGAAACCAGTCGTAAGGTATCACAGTTATACAGGATAATGCAAATTAAGCAAATGAGCTGTTTATTTTGTACAGCAATTTAATATAAAGAGCAACTGCAGAGAAGACGACATGCTGCTGAACATTTTATCCAGACTCCTCACCTTTTTGCAGAGCCCACTGCAGTTTTTCATAACAGACTGGCAAACAGGACTCAAGATGGTACCTATGAATGTTTTCTAAATTAACTGAAATAACGAGGATACAACCCTAGTCCAGTCAAGATGAATAGAAGTCATATTAACAACTTCTAAAATTCATGGGATATTGCCCAAAATACCAAGTAAAATAATAGGTATGTACACAGCAAAAAGAGGGGAAAAAAAAAATATTATGGCATCAATTGACTTCACACTCCCAGGTAACTAGTGATAGGACGAGAGGCAATGGCCTCAAGTTGCGTCAGGGGAGGTTTAGATTGGATATTAGGAAAAATGTCTTTACTGAAAGAGCGGTCAGGTCTTGCGACAGGCTGCCCAGGGAGGTGGTTGATTCACCATCCCTGGAGGTGTTTAAAAAACATGTAGATGTGGCACTTCAGGCTATGGTTTAGTAGGAATGGTGGTGTTGGGTGGATGGTTGGACTCGATGGTCTGAGAGGTCTTTTCCAACCTATGATTCTATGATAATCTTTCTGTGGCTCTAAAATGCCAGTTCTCTGATGGTATAACAAACTGCTCATGTCAGGTTATTATAGTGTTGAAGTTCAACTCTGTGACACTTCTAGAAAAGCCAGGAA